TGACCTATCCCCTTCCTAACTCCCTACCTACACTCACCTTTCCTGGCCCCATCCCCGCCTCTTCGACCTGTTTGTTTCTTCTCCACCTATCCTCTCCTCTATCCCTCTTCTATCCGCCTCCCACTCTCTCCCTATTTATTTCAAAACCCCCTTCCCCTCCCCCTTTTCTGATGAAGGGTCTAGGCCCGAAACGTCAGCCTCTCTGCTCCTATGATGCTGCTTGGCCTGCTGTGTTCATCCAGCCCTGCACCTGGTTGTCAATGATATTTGTGCCTTCTCCATGAAATTCTCGATTGGTACTGTGTTGTGGTATTACACTGGTTAAATCAATGTTGGTGTCAAACTACAGCAACACTGAGCATGGAAAATACACAAGTGTTCAAATATCTGGCTACATTTCCAATCTTGTCCGATTTCATTAATAATATAGCAGCCTCATTGAAATTTTTGGATTTCTCTCTGACCTGCAGTCCCTTGGTTTGGTTTGCATCTACATATCTACTGTTTTATGATGACTTTGATTCAAGTCACTGAGGGTGGAAGCTGCTTGAAAATTGTGAACCACGATTGAGAAATTTCTAATGTTTGATCGATATCTGATATCGATGTCTTGGAAATCTGTTTTTAAGTAGCAGTTTGTGCAGAGCTTTAAAGTAAAGCAATTCTGCTATCAGCCAGTGACCTCAGAAGCTGACTGCAAGTGTTTTAAGTAGAGGAGTTGTGAGCACAGGTGAGATGGAACTATGAATCCAAGCAGAGATGTTGTCTCTCCCATGCTCGCTTCTGCAATCACGGTTTATCTGCCTCTATTCTGCAAATACTATCAGTGATTTCATGAATAGCAAGGACGGATGGTGTGGAAGAGGGGAACCTGCGATCGGGTTAGGGTTAGGTGTAGCTGTAACCATGTAGGTAACTTTCAACTGCGGCATCATCAGTTGCTTTTTGACCAATTGCTGGATGTTGGGTCCAACTTGCTCACTGTCCTCCAGAAGGCTGAGGAAAAGAAGCAATAAAAGAAAAGGGAGTGGTGTGGAGAATCTCAATCCAAAACATCTCTGTTAGCAATGAGGCTAGGAACAGGCCCAGGGATGCTGACACAGCCTTGGTGAAAGCTGCTCGAGAATTGTGAACAAAGACTGAGAAATTTCTCATGTTTGCTGGATATCTGATGTGGATATCTTGGAAATCTGCTGCTTTTAAGTTAGGGTTTGTGCAGGGCTTTAAAGGAAAGAAACTCTGCTGTCAGCCAGTGGCCACTGAAGTTGACTGGTGTTTAATTGGAGTATTGCAGTGACCTTGCTGTTTTGCACGGTGATGTGTGTGTACATTTTTGTTTCAGAACTGTTCAGAACTTCGTCTCTGTTCAGAGCTCTCTCTGTCGTGGTTAAAAACACTGCAATGTATAAAATCTGTCTGTCCCTGTTTAACACCCTGTCCCTGTTTAGTAAAACATAGTTATATGATGCACAATATTGGATACTAGGACAAGTTAGGGTTCTTTCTGGCGAAGTTTAGGGGATTGAGATGACTTAATTGAAACACAAGATCCTTGAGCGAGAAGGAAATAAAAAAGATCTGCAGATACTGGAAATCCCAGAAACTAAAACAGAAATTGCTGGAAAAACCCAGCATGTCTGGAGAGAAGAAGGGTCACTAGACGCAAAATGTTAACTGCATTGTCTCTGAAAATGCTGCCTGACCTGCTGAGTTTTTTTCCAGCAATGTCTGTTTTTAAGATTCAAAGGGATCTTGACAGGGTGGATGTGGAGAGAATGTTTCATGTTCTGGGACACTCTCAAGCTAGTTAAACACAAGAGGTCATCCATTTGAAATAGTGAGGTAGGAAATTTTATCTGAACAAATTGCAAGTCTTTGGAATTCCCTTCATGAAAGGTGGTGGAAGCCGAGCCTTTGAATAGTTTTAAGGCCAGGGTAGATACCTTCTTGGTAAAGGCGAGTGAGAGGTTATCGGGAGTAAGTGGGATGTGGATTTCCGGATGCAATCATATCAACCATGACTTTTCTTATTAAATGGTGTGGGCGCGTGGGCTGAATGGCTTACTCTTAATTTGTATAGTTGCTAACGTTTTAATAAACGTTTGTATTTTCAGCTGTTTTCTTCTGGTACTGTCCAACTCACAAATTCATCTAGAAAAGATTTTGGTGATTTTGATATTAAAACAGTCATTCAAGAAATCAAGAGAGGAAAAAGAATGGTTTGTATCCTAATTCAATTTGTAAAAAAAAAGTATTATGAATTACTGTTCTGAATGATGCCTTTGTTTCTGCTCAGCCAAAATTTCAAATGTAAATTACATCAAGTCAAAATGTTGACCGTTTACTTCATAATGTAATTTGTGTTTTATTGACCAAACTAAGAACAGCTTTTACTTATTTTAAGTGGATTTTAAGCTTATTACTGCTTGCATTGTAATGTTGGGCACAAACATCAAATGATTGCAGCACAGAAGGAGGCCATATGATTCCCACATACGTGTCTGTGCTGGCTTGTGAAAACAGCTATTAATCTGACTGCCAAGCGCTTTCTTCTTAGCCCTACGAAATTTCCCATCTCAAGTATGTAATCAAAATGTTTTGCTTTCAATGTAGTTGAGAATTAAACAGTTTATTAGATTATCGAATAACCACACAATTCGTGCCAGCTATTCAGGATTCATGAGATGCTTACTAGGGTGGTGTTATGGATTGTGGGCTCTTGCACGTGGAATGATTATTGGGCTGTGTTTGCAGCTGTGATAAAAATGGAGGAAATTCTAGAATTCCATTCTGTTTAGCTGAGTGCTGATCAGTGCAATGTTTGATTTTCTGAAGTCTGAATAACTTGTTTACAAAATTTCAGAAATGTACATTATGCAGTCAAATAGGCGCAACGATTGGGTGTGAAATAAAGGCTTGCATCAAGACTTACCATTACCACTGTGCTGTTGAAGATCGAGCCAAATTCATTGAGAATCTTGACCGAGGGATCTACAGGTACCATTTTCTCATGGTTATTTGTCCTCATTATTTCCCTGTTCTGATCTTCTCAGGATGTATACTTGCTTTTTGTTGAGCTATATGCAAGTTTAATCTTGGCCTCCTCCTGAGGTCTCCAGTGTCATAGGTGCTAGTCTTTAGCTATTTTGATTTATCCTATATGATACCAATGTCACTGACAAGGAGAGATGAGTTGAATGATTTTTCTTTCTGGCCTAAGTAACAGCTATTTCTATTATCTCTTTTTTTTCCTCTTAAAAAGTGGTTACATGTTTCTCCAGATGCTGTTTGCGGTGTCCAATTTAATAATCCTGTCAGGTTAGGACAAAGGGTTTATTGCTGCATTCATGTCACAGTCATTTGTGCATATGTTCAAGAAGGAAGAGAAAGGAAAGAAGTTACAAAATAAAATCCAAGATATCAGAATTAGTCTACCTGAAATAGAGTTCAGTAAGTCAGTGTCCATTTGAGGTTCATTCAGTTGGCTGTGCATAAAAATCACTTTTGAAGCATTTTTGACATAGTTGAATTGATGGCTTAGTAGTTGTAAGCTGGACATTAGCTCACTTTGCAAGTGAGACAGATTTATTTGCAGGCATCAGATCTTTGGGACATATTGCAATTGCAGGCATGCATTCTGGTGTTACAAGTAGACTGACAAACAGCAGACAAAGCCGTTTGGTGAAAGATGATTCAATAAACAAACCAGAAATTTCGGTCATGTGACTAGGCCTTTAAGAGTTTGAGATATCTCAATTAATGAGGTGGATTTTGATGTCCCATTGTCAAAAACTATTCTTTTTTTCCCCCCACAGCAGATAAGACTCATCATTTGCACTAAGTCAAGCAATGCTGGGTGCTCTTCATTTTGCAGAGCTGCCTGAGGTAGACAACTTATCTACTTGTCCTTTGTATTGGCTTGACTAGTATTGTCATATTCCAGAAAGCGATGAGTTCACTTTTATCCTTGTAATCGCTCCACATTTCTGGAAACAGTCAAATATGCTAGGCAACGATCATCTCCCAAAACAAATATGTTCTGTGGTATTGCCATCTGAATCCTCCACTGTCTCCCGCACTCGATGTTCTGGGGGCTTTCAATAACCAGGTGTTGAACTGAACCTTTCTTACAAATACTGGGACTGCAAGCAGGTCAGAGACTCAACTCTTCCAATAAATATCTTACTGCCCAAATCCCCAAAGCCTATCCATCATCCACCATGTAAGTCAGGAGAATACTCTCCATTTTCCCAGAAGGGTGCAGCTCTAACAACACTCAAGAAATTTTGTTATCCAGAACAAGGCAGCCTCCTTGCTTGACACCCTATCCATCATCTTTAACGGTCACACTCTTCATTACTGATGTAGCATAGCAAGAGTACCAGCTTTAAGGTACATTGTAATAACCATTTAGAAAACATGCTTATTTTGTATTCCTTCAGCCAAAATGGACAATTTCACTTTTTCCTACGTTATACTCCTATTGTCAGAGCTCTTTGCACCTATTTAATCTATCTATATCCCTTTGTAGCCTCCTTATATCTTAACTTTTCAGCTGTATTTGTGTTGTCACCAAATTTAGCAACCATGCCTTCTGCCCCTTCATTCAAGCCATTTATATAAATTGTTAAAAGTTGAGGGCACACCATTGCCAAAATGTAAACCCTTGCATGGTGAGCTTTTATTTTCCACAATAACCTTTCATGTGGCTCTTTATCAAATGCCTTCTGGAAATCTAAAGTACAAGCATCCAGTAGTTCCCCTTTATCCTTGGCATGTGTTAATTCATCAAAGAACTCCAATAAAGTGGTCAAAAGTGATTTTGTTTTCATAATACCAAACAACCAAAACTAAGCATTTGATATGGTGCAACTTAGGTGAGTAATAAACATGAGAATTGGGTTTCGAACAAGACAGACATAGTCTCAGTATAACAGGGCAGTCATTTGGGACTGAAATGAGAAATTATTTCATTCAAACAATTCTTTCTGCCAAAGGGTTTGGATGCTCCCAATTTTGACCAAATTTAAGGCTGACCTGGAGTGGACAGAAAAGTGAATCAACTGTGTATTGTGAAACCGACCTGGCAGTATTATCTACTCCTTCTATATCTTGCGCTGTTACCAGGCCAGGCTGTTCCTGTACAGTTATACCACTGTCATCTACTTGAAAATCTGGTAAATTGTCCTGTCCACAAATGCAAGACAAATCCACCCTGGATAATTATCAAATCTTCTTCAAAATATCAAACATCAACGAGGTGATTGTACGTGTCATAGCCTGTGCCATCAAGCAACACTGTTCAATGACCCTCCCTCCATTGCTCTCTGAGGACTCTCAACCAGGAGGGAAGAAAGTGCTCCTCCCCTCTACTAAATGAGTGACCTGATTTTTAAACTATGTCCCCTAGTTCTAGTTGCTTCCACAAGGGAAGCATCCTTTCAGCATCTACCCTGTCAAGTTCTTGCAGGATCTTGCATCTTCCAAAAGATCACCTCCCATTCTTCTCAACATTAATGGGTACGCGCCCAGCTGGTTCTTAGCAAAGCTCAAGATTCCATGGCTCAGAGATTTTGTCTTACTCTATTATTTTTAGATGAATCCGCAATTATGCGAGTTCTCAATGTTTATTTGGTAGGCTGTACTGTAAAAACCACAGTGGGAACGATGACCGAGATGAGGAGGATGAAGAAAGAGAAAGCATCTCACGCTATGGCAAAGAGCAAGAAGCTGACCGTAATCGTGAGGTACATATGGGGCATTATGATAACTGAGCAGTAACAGAGGTGTGCCATTGTGTCTGCAAATAGTAAAAACTAATGTTTTGGGAATAATTACAGTTTCTTTCTAAGTTAAGAGCAGAATGTCTGTATAATTAAACAAGCTACTATTTGGAAGATGCAATGAAGCTTTGAAGAATTGTATTCTTTACCTTGTGATTGGTGTTGTTAGTCTCATTGACAATTTCTTAGCTAGCTTTCTTGGAATTTTTTGTGGCACATCTGTCATTGACATCAATTAGCCTTGTTTAAATCTTGTCCTTGATTTATTGTTGGAGATAGAGCTAATTAGCAACATTTATAGTTGTAGAGTTATCACAGCAAGGAAAGAGTCCATTCAGTCGATCAAGTCCCTGCCAGTGTGGACAACAGTTTAGACAGAATGGTGCACTGGCACCTCATGGGTACTATGGATGGGCAGTAATTGCTAGAGGCTGCTGCATCCTGTGAATTTTTTTTTTTAAAAGCCAGGCATATTTCCCTGCTCTGTCCTAATAGCCTGTTTTTTTTTCCCTTTTTGAGTACCTATCCAGCTAAAGTATTAAATGAGTAACATATTTGTCTTGTCCCCAGTATCTCTCTGCTCCTGAGTCCTTGTGCCTGCAGCTAATGGGAACATGATATTTGTGTGCCTTATCTAATCTAATCTTCTATCAAATGAGATATGATTTAAAGCCAGTGTATATAAGCTGCTTCTGATGCTTGACGTAGTGGTAAGTCACACAAAGTATTATGTAATCTCCATTTTCAGTCAACCTTGAGCCCTTGGACTAGGGAGTGTTAATATATTAAAGATTAAATCCTTTTTGCTCATTGTTGAATGGCCCATCCTGAAGCTGCAAGGTTAATAGTTGGTGAATCTGGGCTGTCTGGATCAGTGGCGTTTGAACACCTTTTGTTACTGGTATTAATATGGGGACTGAGGATTTGGGTGAAATACTGAATTTCTGCTGGCATTCATTGGAGAAGTGAAGACATGGGCATTCATGTTTATCAGTGCTGATAGCAGATTAGCCAAGTTTAAAATCATTATAAGTAATAGTCGTCTTTTGTTTGTTCATTAGGTCTTAGAAGAGGTATAGAAAAATGCATTCAAATTCCTTCTGATTTAATGGATGCCTGAATCTCTAGAGGTAATATTGCATGTTGTATGGGTTGTCAGACAGATTGCAATGCAAATAACTTTGGCCAACTGTTTTTCTCCCCCTTTATGTTAAACAGAAAAACTAACTGAGCCTTGGATACAGAAAAGTGCCAAGAAAATGCCTGTGGACTGAGTAGATGAGGCTGGTACATTGTGCTCAAGACGATAAAGGACTTGTGAGAAGCATAGAAAATATCCAAAGATCTTTCAAGAAATCTCTTTATTCTGTCAATGTTCCTCCTCCTAAGGAAGAGAAACAGTGTAATGAAATAGCACGGCTAATATACCTGCTTTTTTTGATGGGGAGATTCCATAAAATGGATTAGTTAGAATATCTTTTATTACAGCCTTCTGAATTAAAATGGAAATAATTTGATTTGCTGAATTTGTGATTAGATGGCACAAGCTGACCTGCTACATCTTTGCATAATGAGGGCCTTGAGGAGGAGCAACACCTTAACCCACTCGAGCATGTGCCTTCGGGTGTTTCTGGACTTCAACATCAAACAAGAGGAGCTCAAAAATAAACGCTGAAATTAAAACCTCCACTCCAATATCTAACATAAGGTATTTTCACCACATCTTGATTAGCAAACAGTGGGGTAGTCCTAAACAATATGTATGGATGGTTTCAACCCAGTTTTCAATAGATGAATCTACATAATGGTGTAGTCCTGTTCTCAGCCCTAATGCTGAATTATGCTCATAATGGCCAGACATCTGGCTGGGAATGGATTTGTACCCCAATTTGCACTGCACCATCTGAGAACACCTGATAAAAGTCTAGGATGCAATGAGATGCATCAGTTCACAGGTGGTGGTGTCCCTCTTTGAACAGCATACAACTGGCATTTTTTAAAATTCAAAGCATAATGAAACTTTTTCAGGAATGTAGGACCGAAACTGCACTCTGTGCAAATGCTAATCCCTAACTTGGTCAGCTAATCACGGCCTCGTCAAACATACTGGTATAAATGGCATTATTAATGAAATCATGGTTTAGTTTCGATGTTGAAGTCTGTGTTAAATGTTATAATGGAAATGAGTGGTTTTGACTATTGCTAGGTTCACATCACAAAGTACATTATTTCCATCTTAATTTTCTTCCTGTGATTGTAGTTTCCCTTATCAAAGTTAGGGCTTCGGAATAAAAGTTTTAGGATTAGATTGTTACTGATTAGTAAACAATGTTGTTTATAGTCTGGTACCTTTTTCATATGTCACCTCTCGATGTATAAAGTAGCTGCCAGGAAGAAATATTAAATTTAGGTGTGAGAGAGATGTCACTGTGTCAGCAGTGGATATGCTGTCCTCTCTTGCTTTAAATCAGTTTTCTTTTGGATCTGGGTGGCTAAACATTTTAGAAGTGAGTATCTTCAGTTAATTTGATGCCAAAATGTATCTGATTGTTGAATGCCCTTCATTTTTTATGTACTCAACAGCTTGTCAAGTTGGATGTTTTTATGTTGGTTTTACCACACATTCTCCGTCTAAGTCATTGTTTCCTCTGAATTGCTTTACTTTTCCATAGCATACCATAACTAATATCAGCAGCACGTCATCCATGGTTTATTGTGGTCTTAACTTTAACCAAAATAGCACAGAAAACTTTGTTTTCCAAAACAATTCTACACTGTCCAAAAATCGTTAATTGCCTTTTTCTTTTTAGCAATTGCACTATAGAAGAGACAAGCTCAGTGTCATGTACAATGCAGCAAGACAACAAATGGATTAAGTGAACATACTGGCTTTAGCAGTTTCAAGAAAAATATCCATTCATAAGCATTGGATTTTAAGATATGCCTCTCAAAGAAAAACTGCTGCTTGTTAGAATAGATTTTGCTGTGACACATTTCAAATAGTGGGTTCCAAGTTATGTGCAAGACTATACAACAGGTCAGAATTAAAGACCTATGAAATTAATAGCTGCCTGGTAGTAAATATCAAATGTTGGTAAAAGAGACAGAGCTTGTTTCATCTCAACACATCAAGATAGATCACAAATGCAAATTTGACCAGAAACAGCAGTTTATACCACTTGAGAAAAGGGTGCTATCTATGAGTAGTCTCCTGCTTAGTATAACTTTTAGCTTACTTAATGCTCCCTGAACTCTGTGAACAAGAAAGCAATATGTCCAGGCATTGTGCCTTTTACAATAAAAACATGGAAGATAACTGTTTCCTGGTGAATTCTCCATTACAACACGTTGACTAATCAGAGTCCACTTCCCAACAAATTGTGCCACTTTTCTCAAGCTATGTAAGTTGTTCACTCTGAAGCTAATTGTTCTTGCATCCCTCCTGATGATGCAAGATGAAAAGCTTTAACAACTTTTTTTTTGTCAGTTTTTGAGAGTACTGAGTCACTGATGACTTTTAAAATCAGTTCTTAGGCATTCCTTTGCTTTCCTCATTCCTGTTGAAGCCCCAGTACTGATGCAGATCAGCTTTTTCATGTATCCTGTTTGTGCTAATTCCAGAGTGCCTCATGCCCCAGCAAGCCTCCAGCCATATCCTTGGACCAGTTGAAAAGCAAACTATGTTTATTCTCCTAATTCCAGTCAATTCTTGTCTGTTTTCTTTACGATGAATATCCTTTATTGTCCTTTGTACTATAATGCTAAAGTATAGGAGTACAGTGAAAAGTTTTAACAATGGCTGCCTTTCAATGGTGCCATCTTGGATACAAATAATAAAAAAAAGTGGTCTTCCACAAAGAGGATACATCAGATCATCTAGCAGCTGATTGCAGTTGTTTCAACCTTTGTTTGACTAGGGGCACACAGGCTGAAGGGGCTGAGTGGCCTCCTGTTCCTATGTTTGAGGGGCATTTATAATATCAATTTACAAATAAAATAACCAGCACCAAACGGAAGTAGAGTTGCAATGGTGGGGACAGAAACTGCATTCCTTAACTTTCCTTAGTCCCAGAAAATGCAAATATATAGTATGTTAATGAGTTAGATTAAAGTTCCAGCTCCAAGACCAAAACTCAGTTACCCTGGAAATATTCCAAAGCTATGTTTGTGTTGCTACTTACTCCTGTTACTCGTATAAAAATCTATCTTTAATTGCAGTAATTGTTTACAGGCTGTTTCATGGGTCAGCTATAAAGTGTTGTACTGTCTGTTAACAAGGCCTGTGGTAGGAAAGTGCAGAGGAAGACTCTAGTGGTTCAGCAAGTTGCTCCGTGAAGACCGAGCCAAGCAATGCTCAGTTATATACTTGGTTTGAAAGTTAGCATTAGGATCAAAAGATTTTACCAAAGCTGGGGTCATTGTATGAATGCAAGAGTTAGTTGCGGTTGCTGAGTTAAGGAAGGTGACCCTCACTGGGTTTGCAAATGTGGACATTTAGTACAAACAGGATCGTAGCCAGTGGCACCTGCAATTGCAGTTGAATGACCTTTGACAACATGGTGGAATGTGATAAGAAAAAATAAGGAACCAACACCTTTAGATGGAAAAAGGCAGGAAATTAGTGTGATGAAATAATATTTGGGTGCAATTGACTGATGTGTGATGTTCAAGTGGTGCCTTTAATCGTGATTGTTAAGCACTGCCTATGTAACACATCTGAACAGTTGATTGCAAAAATCTACAAACATCCTGAGTTTTCTTCTCACCTGAATCACTGAGATTATTTGTGTATAGTTGCTTCTGGGTATTACATTATTCTGTCTAAAATAGGCAACTGATTGTATTCATTTTTAATTTTGCATTACAAAACTGTCAGATGTGGTAAGTATGGTACTGATTCTATGTAAGGCAATGTAACGCTGAGTTCTGTACCCAAAGGAATTGTCTGACGCACAACACTATGATCTTTGCCACAGGTCAGGAAAGGAGGCAGGTCCTGAATCTATCCCAGCCAGAACAGGGACAGATTCTGTACTCTTAGCACCAATCTGATCCACGCTGGCCATCCGATCACCCGGCCCCTCATGGGGTCCAAGTTGCTATTAGCATTATGCATATCTTTTCATGCGTACTGTAGCCTGGATTTAGGTGTAGTGATGGTAGAGGTTCCTATTTCTGTTACGTGGCTGACCAAGAATTTCTCCTCTTATTACCTGACATTGGTATATGTGGATGGATTTATTTGTTGGTAGTCACTTATTTTGCCAAGTTATGAAGTCAACTTCCTGGAGTTCTAGTTATGAGTCAAGGACACTACCTAATGCATTAGATGACCTCCTTCCTATGGAAACTCAGTTGTGTTTTTGTAATGTACATGTTGTCTCTGAACGAGCAATTGTTGCAATTATAGTTACCTTAGAAAGAAGAATAGCTGCAAGTATATCTTCATCTACTGATTGCTTTCTTCAGTGGGAATATTGGATGAAAGGAATATATCCGTGCACTGGAAATGCAGAAATTCCTTTAAGCTCTGAGCCAATAAAATCAACATGGCAAATGTTGTTTTCTGTTGATACTGCCCCAGTAATTATTTCTAATTCTCTCACACTAGAGTAGGCTACTGCAAGTCCCTTTTGTAGGTTAATCTATTGTCTTTCAGAATTGGATAATACCACAAGTGAAAATGATTAATGTTTGCCTCCCTGACTCACCATGATGGCTTGGTGCACAGAAACTAAATAGAATGGACGTTGAATATATTCACTGCTTTGTAAAAGCAATTCAAAACACTGCACTATGTCAGTGGCATCAATAAACCAATCAGAGCAGCATGGGATCCCTGTCCTGTTCACCTCAGCAAGTGTGCCGTTCAGAATGTGCCTGGTTCCCTGCTCTTGGCCTGCGTGACTGTGAGATGTCACAGATCTGGGATTTTTTTTCTCTGGTGAAAGGAGGCAAGTGAAAGCTGAATATCTCTATCTAAAGGGAACAGCTGCGTAGTCCCAGTGGACCATTGAGCTGCTATCTGATTGGAGATGATTGGCAGTGGTTTAACCGAGTGGTCACCATGTTTCAGGTGAGATTGAGAAGAAGGGGCCTTCGTTGTAACCTCAGCAGTGTGGGAATTGAACCCATGCTGTTGGTTCACTCCACATTACAAAGCAGCCATCCAGCTAACCAATAGTCCCCTCCAATATCTATACAGCTTATGAAAACAAAAATTAAAATTTGAGTCAAAGCTTGTTTTAGTATGAGTGCAGAATGTTACAGCACAGTGTCAGTCATTGGGCTCTACCATTAAATCAGCTAGTAGTATTCAGCCTGCATTTGTATTTCTTTCCCATTGAGACTTCTCTTCAATCTTCCCTACATCTCCCCACACCCCCACCCCTCACTCATTCTGTGTCTTTTATTATTTGACAGTCCTACTCATTTTGAAAAGAAGTCATTGTTTGTGAACTAGTTCCAGATTCCAGCTGACCTCTGTCGAGGGTTTTTTTTTCAAACCTTAGATTCTTAAAAATTTTAATCTGTGGCCTCTATTGGCCTTGCCAACACAGTGAAAATAGTTTATTTTTATTTGCCGCCTTGTTGCAATTTGTATTCCTGAAAAATGTTGTCAGACCGTTTGCATTTTTTGTCCAGGGCAAAGCAGGTCCTGGTTCTTTAATTCCATTTTGAACATCCCAATGATTCTTCATTTGCCACCTTACATTGTGATATATCAGACATAAACTAGTGAAGGTTGGATTCAGTACTCCAGCTGCAAACTGCTGTTGTTTAATAGTATCTCCTTTCTATTTTTAATGCTGCTTTTTGATTGCTATTTTTATTGACCTGCAAGTCTGGGCATGGAAGGATTGCTACCTCATTCAAAGGCCTACTCCTTTGAGGTTGTTTCTCTTTATTGAGCTACATTGACTCATGGCTGATATCCTATCATATCATTTTGCATCTTTTCATAGTCCTGGCCGAAATATGCTACAGCTCCCACACTTACCTGTTTCGATGTTACCCGCAACATTTGGTAGAATTTCCTCAGTCTCATGTCCCTGACCCCAATATAACCATGAAACATCTTTGGTATAAGAAACTTAGCTAAAATTTGCTTGCAGCCATCTCCTTCCACGTGTCCTATTCTGCTTAGTTCCGTGTGTTATTATCTTTGCCTTGTGTCCTTTTTGTGTCCCTTATCTTTGTGAAATCTATAGAAGCTGTTACTGTTTCATTTCCTCTATCCTAATTGACTTTTGCCTTTCCAAGCGATTATTGTTTGCATTACGTTTTTGCTCGCTGGTGCACTAAGGTGTAATGCACTTGCTGTTTTCCAGTCTTCTAGCAGTAATACAGTTTGCTCCTTTTTTCCAATGGGGCAGTGCCATGTAGCCACTTTTTGTGCTGACAATGATATTGAGGAAGCGCTATCTTCTTGGGGGCTATTGAGCTGAATCACATGGATTCTAATCTACATGGGGATTGATCACATTATTTAAACCTGGTCTTTGGGGTCATCATAGGGAATGTTGTTACGTTATTTTAACCACTGGGTTTGTAAATTGAAATGATTGAAGGAGAAGTAATGAAAATGTACAAAAAGAAAGCATTAAGTGTTAACCATATAGCCAACACAATTTGTGAAATGCACCTAGATTGCCTTTGGGCCGTAGCATGATATAAATTTGTGGAGGATCGATATGCTCCTCTTCCTATAATAATATCACCTGTAAAGCATTGGTTGGTGCAAATTTCCCTCCCTGTGTATCACCACTCTGATTTTTCTTTTTTTAAACTGATTGTGTACTAACAAAATGACATCTACCAACTGCATTTTGCAATCTGCAAATGAGCTTGTTTCCAGTTCATTTTTATTAATCTTGTAAACATTGAAAACCAATTTCTTGTTAAAAATTGTGCAAATCCAAGGTTTATATTTAAAGGTCATGAAAGTGCCTTAAATATGAATTTTGTTGTGATCAAATCCTCAACTATACTGTAATTGCCATTCCATCCGAGTGGGGCAAATCTTCTGACGTCTCCAGTAGTTTGGCTGTAGCCACTTCTCCCTCATCTTTCAAATCAAGATGGGGAAAAGTATTTCTTGACCCTTGTTGATTTTAGTGTTTTAACTAAAACCATTTCATTGGATGCAAATACCAGAGGCTTCCAGACTCTCTGTGGATTGCCTTGTTTCTCAATTGTAGTACATAGCTTCTCTCGTAACTGTTTTACCAGTTTTATGCCAGCCTTAATGGAGAAGGTGAAGTTAATGACGTTGGTTGTCTTAGAGATAGTAGGAACTGCAGATGCTGGAGAATCTGAGATACAAGGTGTAGAGCTGGATGAACACAGCTGGCCAAGCAGCATCAGAGGAGCAGGAAGGCTGACGTTT